AAACATTTATTTTGCAGTAGCCATTAATTCATTCATCTTACTTTTTTATATGACACTGTAACCACTCTACATTTTTTCAATATTCCAAAATCATTGAATTTGTAAGTTACTTCTATGATGGAGTATTTTTGAAACAGCATTAAATATGTCAGGGCCTACAGGATGCCATTTTGTTTTAATTCAAAGTGCATACAATTTATGGAACACTAGTGCCTATGAAATGATATCAGGGCTAACTATTAGTAACTAAAAGAGTCGGTATAACTATTATTTTAACATAAGTTAAACATATAGAGGTCTTTTGTATCTAGACATGTAGCAGGCTTTTCAAATATGAGAAATGATAAAATCTCTCAGACTTGCAAAGTAAAAAGACATGTTTACCATGACAAAAGATGACATAGCATAATTTGCAGTGTGGATAGGTTGAGGATTTCCCACATAAATTTCCCAGTTCTGGTTCCTTTTGGCTTAACAGTTCTTCCTTCAATCTTCCTCTTTTTTCTCACATTTTACAATGAATAACAAGAAGAAAGTAGGCTGTGCCTTCACCATTTTGCTTAAAAATCTTCTCAGTTAAATATTCAAGATCAATATTTCCACATATCTGTGAGACATAATTCGGCTAAGTTTTCTGCCACCATATACTGACATATTAGTCTGTTCTCACCCTGCTAATAAAGACATACTTGAGGCTGGATCATTTTTAAAGAAAAAGAGGTTTTATGTACTCACAGTTCTACATGGCTGGGGAGGCCTCACGATCATGGTAGAAGGTAAAGGAGGAGCAAAACCACGTCTTACATGGCAACAAGAAAGACAACTTGTGCAGGGGAACTCCCATTTATAAAACCATTAGATCTCGTGAGACTTATTCACTACCAGGAGAACAGTATGGGGGAAATTGCCCTGTGATTCAATTATCTCCACCTGGCCCTTCCCTTGACATGTGGGGATTGTTAAAATTCAAAGTGAGATTTGAATGCAGACACAGCCAAACCATATCAACTGAGGATCTCCTTTCCTACAATTTCCAGTAACACTTTTCTCATTTCCACCTGTATCCTGTTCAATGCACTTTTAATGTCCATATTTGTATCAGCAGTGTGTTCATGATAATTTATGATGATTTATATATTCCCTAAGATGATGCAGATTTTCTCTACCATGCCTCTTACTTTCTTCTGAGGCCTCACTAGCAGAGTTAACATCCACATTTCTACTAACATTGTGTTCAGGGCAATCTAGGTTTTTAAAATGCTGGCTCCACACAATTCTTCCGGCCTTTGTCATTGCCCAACACCAAAGACACTTTGACATTTAGTTTCCTATTACTATTGTAATGAATTACCCCCAAACTTAGGGCTTAAAATAACACACATTTATTATCATACATTTGTGGAAGTCTGAAGTTTGAAATGAGTCTCATTAGACTAAAACCTACGTGATGGCAGGGCTATTTTCTGTTCCAGAGACTCTAAGAGAGGATAATTTTCTAGCTTTATTCATCTTCTAGAGGCTGCACACATTCCTTGGCTAAGCCCTTTTTTGTTTTCTTTCTTTTTTGCTTCCTTTTTTTTTTTTTTTTTTTGAGACAGTCTCACTCTTGTCACCCAGGCTATAGTACAATGGTGTGATCTCAGCTCACTGCAACCTCCGCCTCCCAGGTTCAAGTGATTCTCCTGCCCCAGCCTCCTGAGTAGCTGGGATTATAGGCACCTGCCACCATGTCCAGCTAATTTTTTGTATTTTTAGCAGTGATGGGGTTTCACCATGTTGGTCAGGCTGGTCTCGAACTCCTGATCTCAGGTGATCCACCTGCATCGGCCTCCCAAAGTGCTGGGATTACAGGCATGAGCCACTGCACCTGGCCCCCTTTCTATTTTCAAAGCCAGAGATTGCTGATCAAGTCTTTCTAACATAACATCACTCTGACTCTATTGTTTTAATCTTTCTTTTACAAGGACCCCTTTGATTGCAATGGGTTCACCCACCTAATCTGGAATAATATTCCCATCCCAAGACTAGCTGATTAGTAACCCTAATTCTATCTGCATCCTTACTTCTCTCTTGCCATGTAAAATTGCATATTGACAGGTTCTAAGGATGAGCAGGTAGACATCTTTGGAATGCCATTATTCTACCTACCACTGTATTTACTGCTCACAAACACCAATTCCTTGGCAAAAATATAGTGAACAACATTTCTGTTACCATCAGAATCTCTTCTAGTCCAGGCTGCTTCGTGAATGTCTGTACCAGGACTAGAAATGTGTGGACTCCAACCTAATAAGATCTAGTTTTTCTAACTAAAGCTTTACATTCATACAAAAGAGACATTTTGGAGTCTTTGCATCATCTTACTGCAAGTTACCAGTGTAAACTTTATCTCACCAGGTACGTTAAAACAAATTTAAAATGAATAATACTAAGGAAAGGAGGAAATAAGGAGCCAGAAGTTTATCTTATTTTTCTTATACTTGAGAGGTTATCCTAATTTGGTAAACAATACAATCCATAGTTTGTTTGCTAAAAATAAAACAAAGCTCTGCCCCTGACATATATGTAACACTTCTCTCATTTCTACTCTTTTTCTGTTCTCTATCTCTTTCTTAATTCCCCTTGGTTTATGAATTTATTATGGTCCACAAAGTCAGTAGAGATGAAACCATTAGTCCCATTACTTTATTTGAACTGACATGGCAATAGTAACCCAGAAAAATAAAGATGCGGGTTCTAAAAAATCCCTGAATTTAGAAAGATTCATACAATGTGTTTTGAGGCTTATCATACTTAATACCTCGATAGTAGATCAGTGTTTTTCAAACTTTAATGTGCATAGGAATCACTTGAGGATTCTGTTAAATGGATATTCTGATTCAGTTGGTTTGGAGAGGGGCCTGAACTTCTGTACTTCCAACAAGATTGTAGGTTATGGTATACTGCTAACATAGAAACCATAATCTGAATAGCAAGGATTTAGATACTATCTCTAGTTGCCATTGTCATTTCATTTGCAAGTGTGAAAGTAACCTACATTTAAATGCTCTCGTACTGTTGTCAATTGTGGGTTGTAGGTACAAGAAAAACAAAGCATCTTGAGAGGAAATAAAAATATCCTGAGCTTTTCTGCCAGCACTAACATGGCTAGGGAGATTGCTTTACACTGAATAATTTTCCTTGTTAACATTTTTATTAAGTTGTCATGACAACTTTCTTATTCTCAATAAAGTGGAGGAAAGTTTTAACCCATAAGTCAACTATAAGAAAGAAGACTAGAGCTGGAAGATGATGAAATATTCAGGTATTCATTTATCCACTCAGCAGGCATTTTAGTGAATCCCGTTATGAACCAAGTTCATTGCTAGGAAATTAGGCTGTGAAGATTAGTACTTCCCTAACATCAAGGAACTCTTGTTACTTTTTTAGAGCATATCAAACATCCAGATTACAGAATGTCTTTTGCCGTCACCTTTTGGTGGTTCTAGCCACCCTTATGCTTAGATTGGTTGCTTCCTCTTCTTACCCATTGTCTGACAGTCAGAAAGGACAAAGGAGGAAGAAGACAAGATATTCTCCAGTTGAGGGTCTACCCTTGGTAAAACTCAGTAGCTCTTGGCAGAATGTACTGGGGTTAAATGCAATACTAATCAAGGACTTTGGTGTGCTATAAAACTTGAGAATGGTGAAAGTAGAAATTAATGGGTTAAACAAATCATGTTCCAGAATGAAAGGAATATTGGTAATGGTATCAGTAGGGGAAGACAACAGCAACAACAAAGTCTTTATACAAGCCTGCAACACATGACAACTGTGGATCAGGCATCTGAACCGGCCTATCTTTCCACCATATCTTCCTACACTTTTCTTTATGTACTTTTTATTTTTACCAGATGGTATTACTCCTTGTTTCTTGAATAAAAGTGCCATGCCTTTCCAATCTCTATATGTTTGCTCACAAGTTTCCCTCTGTCACAAAAAAGCAAAAACAACAAAAACGTCCTCTATTTTATCTTTTTTCAAATATGACCAATCCTTCAAGTCCTATCTCTAATACTGTTCCTTTATGAACGCTGTCAGACACTATCTCATTTTCTTCTGAATGTTCGTAGCATTTAATCTACTTAAAAATAGTATGACTTCCCTCTTCCTTTTACTAATGAATTACTGTGTATTTTTTAAAAGTTTTCTTCTACATCTGAAGTTCTAAATATTCTTAGTACAAATGTCCTGCTGATCTAAGAGAGTATCATGGGTTAAATGTAGAGGAAGAGAAGTTTCTGAGATGGCAGGAAGGCAAAAGTTTCTGTGGCTACCTGTGCTTACATTGCTGACTTTCTTAACTGTTCCTGACTTATTTAAATGTATTTTTTTCCTGATTCTGATTAATGTTCACTGTGAGGCAATCACAGTATGCAAGACTGGGAGAAAGTCTGCAAATGTGATGAGCTTAAAATGGGACCAGATTAGATGGTGTATTTGGGGAAGATATAAAAGAGGAAGATAACCATGAATTGAACTGAATTGAAAAGGGATCACATAAAGATCATAATTAATTGTTAATTCACAACGGAACAGCATGATGGGATTTTTTTAAGTCAGAAAGGTGACTAAAAGCATAGTATCACAACACACACATCGGTAACAAATAGAACTAAATGCATTGAACCAGGCAGAAGCCAGACCTTACTGAAAATATGTAAAATCTCTGTAACCATAAAATTGCATCTGCAAATGAGTAGATTGGCTTCAAATCTGAAAACCAGGACAAGAATGTCATCAGCACAGATGTCAACTTCCCAGCAGAAATGTTGGAGTTTTTAACTGTGGAAAACTACAGTTTCTCTGGACCAGTGCATAGTGGAGAAGACATGTGTTTTGTTTTTCTTTTTAAGTGGGCCAAATTTTCCTGGAGTCCCCTCCAATTTTTGCCTTTCTCTCTCTTTTTTTTTATTTTGGTCCCCTGCCCCAGGTCTCTGTCTCCACACAGTAATTGCTGGTATGGCGATTGGGCGGCTGCAGAGACCAGGACTCAGTTCCCCTGCCCTAGTCTGAGCCTGGTGGGTGGGACTCAGCGCAGAGTCAGTTTTCCAGAAGCAGGTTTCAGTGCAGAGTTTTCCTACACTTTTCCTGCGCTAGAGCAGCGAGCAGTCTGGAACAAACCCAGGCGGAGGACACCTGTGGGGGAGGGAGCGCCTGGAGGAGCCTAGGGACCCCAGCCCTGCGTGATCTCACCATGGTGCGTTTTCGCTGCTACTTTCTTTTTCAGTCTTTCGGTGCAGAGAAGGGGAGGAGGCGGGGAGAGGTTTGAAAAAATCGAATGGCTTATGGAAAGGAACTGCAAGGGTTCCTTTGGGGTGATCAAAGAGGGAGACACAGATAGACACAGAGAGACAAAGGCAAGGAGGACTGTCTGGGAGCGACGCGGGCGATACAGTTTCCGAGGCACGCAGCGTCCCGCCCAGCCTGTTGAGCAGGTAGACACGAGCGACCCAAGCGTAAGTGCCGCTGCCGCGAGTGCCCAGGGTGCACTCGTGCGGGGACCCACAGGTGCCACTGCAGGGTCCCCTCTCCCGCTCACCGCCTGCCACCCCTGACGCCCGCTCTCTTTCTCCCTTCGCAGTGCGGATTTGCGAGGGGCACCCTGGAGCTGCTAGAGATCCGCAAGCACAGCCCCGAGGTGTGCGAAGCCACCGAGTAAGTGGTCTCTGCATCCCCACGCGGTCGGGGCTCTTCAGACAGGCGGTCCCTCTTCCGGGACTCCGGCTTGGGCTGGGTCTCCTTCCTCTCCTGAGAAACCTTCCGTACGCTCCCAGCTGCCCAGCCCTGGGGAGCCAGGGCCGGGTTCCCACGCTGGGGAGGAGCGAGAGGAAAGGAGACGACGCCCGG